TTTGGTACCTCGTTTTTGGTCAAAATTTCCGATGATTTTCGTTAACCCCTACTTGAAAAATATGCTTATGTTTAAAAAAGCGAAAAATGTTTTTTCATTTTTTCTCGATTTATGATTTTTTGATCTTGGTACAAGAATTTCTCAGTCTAGGCTCAGTAAATATATTTAAATTTTTTTTGTTTGAAAGAGCTCGTCGAGATGCAGGTCACCGTAGAGTGCTTTTTTTTTAAATTCAGCTTTGTTTTTTATTGGGTGTACGCACATAGACACTCATTTTTGGCGCTTTTTTTTGAGTCATTGAACTTGTGATCCCCTTTTTCCACTAAAAAAGTAAGAACTTAAAAAAAGGAGTCTATGGTGACCTGGATCTCGACGCGCTCTTTCCAAAAAAAGAAAAAAAAAATTTAAATATATTTACTCAGCCTGGACTGAGAAATCCTTGTATCAAAATGAGCTATTTTTGACCCTTGTTTGGTTTATATCTCTGTTAAATCCCAGTGAATCGAGCTGAAAATTTTACTATAGCCTCCCCACTTCAGCGCCAACATATGCTCAAAATTTCAGCCCATTTGAACGTTTCTGAGCTGAGATCGATTTTTGAGGAGGCCTTAAGAACATTGTTGTTGTTGTTGTTGTTGTCATTGAGAAGTACATGTATCATTGCTGCAATAGTATTTCTTATGATACAGGATATATTTCATGTTAAAGAGAACTATAAATAAATCGTATTGCATTGATAAAACAAATTCGCTTGGATAGTGTACGAAAGAGAATTTCGATCGATAAAGACAATTCTTTTCTTCAAAATTTTTCTTATTTCTAATTATTTCTGAAAGTTGTTTTGTGGAAGTCACATATATTTTCGAAGAAAATAGTGAGTGTAAGTTTTAAGTTCAAGTTTTGGTGGCTACCCCTCCCTCCCCATTACAGACACTTAGCAACGGAAAAGAACATTACAGACATACCCTCCATTACAGATATACTCTCCATTACAGACAAACCCCCGATTACAGACCTTAGCAATTAAGAGTAACAGGCGTCAGACTTTCGAGTTTTTTTGAAAAAATTGATCAAGTTATAATTTCGAAAGAAAATAATCAATATCATTGTTTGTGAGCTGATTAACATATATAATATAGTACATAAGATCTTGTGTAGATATCATGGATAAATGAAACAGATTTATTTGCCAATTAAGTCAATGTTTATAACAATCAGAATGTTGAATTATGAAAAACGATTTAAAAAAAAAAAGAAAGATAATGAGCGAATAGCAACAATGCAAAATAAAAATAGGGTGCTCTGAAACAAAAAAGATTTTGTTTTAAGTGTAGAAATAAATAACAAAGTGTCGCTATTGTCATTGATTATCAATGAAAACAACAACAGTATAAGTACAGGAAATTTTTCAGTTTACATATGATGCATTAGAATATGTATAGTTTAATGATATATGTAAGTTCCACATTTCAGCTCCAAAGGAGCTGCGCTAACAAGCATTTTTGTTGCGTCTTAGTCTTGGTTGTTCTCAGGCGGAAAACAATCGATTGTTTTATATATATATATATATATAGATATACATTAAAGCTCATCGAATTAGTTCCTAAATTATAAGTAAATGGAATAATATAGAGTTCATGTAAGATAAAAGTCTAGAAAATATTTCAGAAAACAAAAAGAATCTGTATGAAAGTATTTCTGAACGTAATGAATTAGAACTATGAGTATGCAATTGTATTCTTCATAAAAATACTTTTATATTTGGAACATTGTATAGCATCCTTTCTTAACCAAAAAATAAAAACAAGAAGAAATTCTCATTTTATTTTCCTCCTATTTTTCAAAACAGTAATCCTGCCAAATAATCGAATCATAAATTTGTCTTAATTCTTCCTTTTTCTTCATATATGATCATTCACATATACGAGTAGTATATTCGAAAAATATTTTCTAAAAGAAAATAATCATTGTTGTCAATATTGAGAATTAGTCTAAGAAAAAAAAGAATATATATATATCTAGCCTTATATAAAATCTACTATGTATGAAAAGAAAATTTCTCTACTTTACTTTATAAATTTTCTTGTGCCTATTTCAGACTATCCATTACGTTCTCCATCCAACATCAACATTCATCCAAATGCTCGATGGCAACAAAATGGTATTACTGTGGCTGGAGGAAATCAACAAGGAAATAGAATCAATCAACTCTCAAACCCATATGGTTTATATGTTGATAATGATCAAACAATCTATGTGGCTGATACAAAGAATCATCGTATTACAGAATGGAAATGGAATGCAACGAGTGGTCAAGTAGTTGCAGGTGGAAATGGACAAGGAAGTGAAGATCATCAATTGAATAACCCAACAGATGTGATTATCGACAAAGAAAGAGATTGTCTCATAATATGCGATCGTTGGAATGAAAGAGTAGTTCGATGGCCTCGTCGAAATGGGACAAGTGGAGAAACAATCATCTCCAACATTGATTGTTTGGGTTTGACAATGGATGAGAATGGATCTCTCTATGTCGTTGATGATGTGAAAAATGAAGTGAGACGATATCGAAGAGGAGAATCTCAAGGAACAGTGGTTGCAGGTGGCAATGGAAATGGAAATCGTCTCGATCAACTCTCTTCGCCACAATACGTATTCGTCGATCGAGATCATTCAGTGTACGTATCTGATGAGAACAATCATCGTGTGATGAAATGGATGGAAGGTGCAAAACAAGGCAT